CTATAGTAGCGATGGCCTCCAACCTATAGTAGCGATGGCCTCCAACCAATAGAAGCAATGGCCTCGAACAGTTGGAGCGATGGCCTCTGGATTTTGTTCTTGTAGACTCTAGACTCGTGATTAATAAGACACCCATATGCCATGTGAAGAGGCTTTACAGTTAGAATGAGAGGTTTTGTTTATTGTGCATCCAGTAGATTTGCTATCAAAGTAACATTGGCCTCAAACCAGGAGCTTGGTTGTCCATGCCCTCCAGAGGGGTTCATAGGGAGTCAAAGCGCGCAGTGCTGAACCTATGAAGTCACACATGGGTACACATCTGGAGTAAGAGCCTATTCCGATACCCCCCTCCGCAGAATGTTTGACTGGCAAGACTGGTTGACAACACCCCATAAGAGACCACTTGGGAAAGGAAACCAAGAGAATTCTGGTAAACATTTACTATGCTACTGGAAAGGATGCCATTCCTTTGGATGGCAGTGAGTTTCTTCGCAGGGCTCCCTACAGTAAGTAGGGCCCCGGATCTTCCGGGCAGCAGAAGGCATAAGACCCAGCGATTCCGCCGGGCGGCGATTCCACTGGGGTGGTCGCCAGGGTCTCTGGAAATCGGCAGAGGAGGGAAACGAACCTTTCAACCCCTCGCAGGGTTTCAAAGACGTCCTGTTCTTTTATCCTTAATTTGCACATCATTGTTGTACCGTGTCTTGGGAGTTTGGGAGCAAGTCATTCTGAAATTCTCCATTCTTTTTGCCCAACCTCTTCTTGTTTCACAGAAAAAGGGCCCCGTGAAAGAACGGCGCGAATCCTCCAAACACCCACCCAACCCGCCTCCAACGGTCCGGATCTCCTTCTGCCGACGCAGTTGACCCAGACCGCCTCCGCGTTGACCGCCGCAAGGGAGAGGGGCTTTGCAGGATCCAACGGGTGAACTTCCGGAGGTGTGTGGCGTCCGGTTCGAAGGGTTTTTGCATGTGTTTGCGAAAGATTCAAAAAGTCTCAGACATGGGACGGGAAAATATAGCCCATTCCAGGTAAACTTGGGGGGGGGGGCTCCCAAGTGATTTTTGGAACAACGATTTGCCAGCGTTCAAAATCATTCAAGTCCTTGGGATTTGAGCCAAGAGTTCTGAGGATGGCTAGATGTTCCAGGGTATTTCCAAGGTTCATGGCTGCTTCCTGAAGATCCCTTTGTGACGTGATGTTTCTCAGGGCTACAATAGATTGATTGATTCCCAATCTGAATCGATGAATTGATTGGCTCATCGGCGCAGCGTCTGGTGGTTCAATGCCTGGATCTCGAGCGCCTGGTTGGGCATCTGCAAAGCAGAGCCTGACATGGCGACACAACGCAAGAAAAGGAGCGCAACCAGCAGATTGAAGCTGCCGCTTTCAAGGGTTGGAGGTGTTCATCAACAAGACGGCCAGCATCATCCCCTTGGATGCCTTGAGAATGGTGCAGTAGGGGTGCCACTCCCACGAATTTCGAGTAAAGATGATAACTTTTGACTAGTAGTAGCAAGAAGCCACTAGGTGGAGGCCATCGCTACTAGGAAATAAAGAAAAACATGTAAAAAATGCCTCATCTTCAAAGTGACATGGGTCGCAGTGGCGGTGTGCTCTCCGCAGGTGATGTGACGCAACATGATCCAGCCAAGCAAGGCCGGCAATTTGCAATCCGAGCACTAGTTGAGCACAGAGACGTCTGAGGAGATCCTGACTTGTACTCATTTAATTTGCCAATGATTGCTACTGCTGGTTTCCTACTTACGCAGCAAAAGGCACGTCGAGCTTTAGCCGGTCCGACGGCGTGCGTTCCGTTCGCGTGGACCGCTCGAATGAAGTCGGTGGAAGGCGACCCAGACAGCTGTTGGTGGAAGGCGAGCCCAGGGTGTGGTCGGTCCGGGGGGGGTTGTGGGCAGATGCATGAGATTTCGAATGGTACGCGGTTTGGATTCGATCTCTGAAACGCACCTGGTCATTTGCGATACTTGCGGTTTTGGGGATAGGTTGATACAGCACAACAAACATGTGTTTAATATTGATTGATAACTCTGACAGGCAACGTGTATTGTTCCTCTTTGAAGGCCAAGATGATGTTTAGAAAGCACCTCCTGATCTCAAGAAGGGAGACTGAAATGGGGAGGCCATTGCAGCCTGGTGCATGGGGAATCTTAGATCAACTTCGTCTTGTGGCAAGGAAAGCTGATTAGGAACAAAGGGCATCGCTACTAGTAGCGATGCCCTTTGTTACTAGTAGCTTCTTGTTACTGGTAATACCAGGAGCAGCGTTCGGTTCGCGTTCGAACGCTCCGTTCGTAGCTTGGCTTGCCGGGTCCGAGCGCAGATTTGGGCGAGACTGGACATGGTCCGTTGTGGTCCCTTTGTCGTCCCTGGTCCGAAGGTGGCCGTCACTTGCGGTCAATCCTGCTCATTTTCCCTGCTTTGAGCCCATCCAACATGGGAGCCTTTTGCTGACAGAAAGTGGATGAGATTTAGGAAAGACGACGTCTTCCCAACTGTTCGATGCGTTGGTCAAACTGGATGTTTCTGGTTGCCGCCTGTCATCTTTCCCCACTTTCACTCCCCTAGACGACCTTCCGGTCACAACGCTTCACGCTTCATGGTGGCTTGGTCCTCCAGCTGGGCTCATGTTTGTCGCCCGGCTTTTTGGTTTTTTCCGCCCCCCCGAAGCTGGTGCCATGGACGAAGAATCTGAAGTGCAGGATGAGGGAGTGGTCTCGTTGGCGGCGGAGTGTGCGAAGCTATGGCCAGGCATGTTGCTGAAGAGCTCTGAGGAGGAAGGACGACTCAAAGACGAGAAGGAAGTCACTGAAGGCCACAGTGGGTGAAGAAGATTTGGAATTGTTTTGTAATTACTGTAATACTGTAGTTATTGTTGACGGGGCCAATGATTTTGAAAGGTTTGGGTTGCAAGCCACAAGTGAGAATGGTGCTATCATTCTGCTTTCATTCCATGAAGATAGGTTTTGCCATGTCCATCTCAAGAATTCAGAATGAATCGTTCGTATTTCAACGTCGAACTCCAAGATAGGTTTCCTCCTTCCCTTCACTGTCTCCTCTTTTGTCCGACTGCACTCCAACTGCCGAGGCCCCGGTGTGGAGCACCCGGCCCACTCGGCCCTCACCGAGGCCGACACGCACACCATCCGCGTGGACGTGATGCGCACGCGCGGGAACCACCCGGCCTTCGGGCCACAGATGCGGGAGAGGCTCCGAGAGCTGTTGACACAGCTTTGTTTGAAGGAGAAGATCCGCTACATGCAGGGCTTACATGAGGTGCGCAAAACGTGCGTGCGCATGCGGTTTGTGGCTTTGGTGCCTTTCAGGTGAAAAGGAGTGTAAAAGGAATATATTAGGCGGTGGGTCGTTTGTGTGTAACCTTTTTGCGGGGAGGACGAATCTGAATTCGTTCGTCACGGAAAAGACTCACTGAAAATACATGATTTTCTCACAAAAGAGCCTTGATTTGTTTCAACGTGTGTTCCATTATTTCTGTTTAGTGGTTTAGCCCGTTGATGTTTCTTTAAGTGGCTTCGTATACGAGTTGTTGGTGCCTTGATCCTGTGTGCTGGCAGGTTGCCGCGGTCTTCGCCTACATCGAGTCGACCGAAGGCTTTCACCCCACGGAGTCGACGGAGTCGACGGATGCGTCGAGCCGGACCTTGGAGTGTTTCATGGCCTTCGTGCGAAACTTTATGCCCTGCTTCTACGATGCGGAGAGCACCTCCGGTGGAACTGAAAAGATGTTTTATGTATATAACATGTTTTTGTTGGTGTCTTGTTCAGAAGCTGGTGGCTTGGTTTTATGTGATTCACATACAATTGAAACGGAATGTTTATGAAGGTTTTCAGAAGTGTTTCTGACGGTTGTAAAGCTTGTCAAGAGGCATTGACCCGAACCAAGTCCGAATGCGATGTTTCCGGGGGAGTGAAGGAGCGTTCACGGTGTTTGCCATCGGTAGCTTGGACCTATGCCTACGACTCATCCTGGATGAGACAATGACTTTAGTGATCTTGCATCGCTACTAGTAACAAGAAGCTACTTATAGCTATGCCCTTTGCTACTAGTAGCTTCTTGTTACTAGTATTGCCCTTGTTACTAGTAGCTTCCCGTTGCAGACTGTGAGGCTTCGTGATCTTGCACATCACGTTGCTCTTTTTCCGTCAGCTTTTGTTGTACCATCTACCTCACTTGCACAACCAACTGGAAGAGGCAGGGGTGGCACCGGTGGTGTATGCTACTCCCTGGTTCATCACCTTGTTTGCTTACAAGAATCCCTTGCACGTCACCATGCGCCTCTGGCACGAATACATTCGACGTGGAGATCCCACCTTCGTGCCCTTCTTGGCGGTGGCACTTATGGAGCTGGAGAAACAAGCCTTTCTCAATGTGGAAGAGGATGATTTGAAGCCAAACTTTGCATGTGTGAGTATTGATGATGTTTTGATGTTTTTCATGTGTTTTTTTCCGTGTGTGTCTCTTTAAATGAATGTTACTTCTCTTTGGAATCTGGAGATTCTAACGGTTCTGCACCATGCTCCAGGACAGTCTTCTCCCCCAACCTTTCTAAGGAATTCTGCGGTGGATCGTACTCGAATCACCTCGCTGGAGAAGTTGCGCGATGTTTGGAAAGCGGCCGAGAGCTTGCATGCGAGGACACCCAAGTCCTTTACCTTCCGGATGTCCAAAGTGCTCACTCAAGTGAGGCAACAGCTACGGAAGCTGAGCGACATGCAGTCAGACATGCAGTGGATGTCTTTGGGGTTCCTTCCTTGTGTGGATCCCTAGAGTAGTCGGGGTCGATTTGTTGGGAATCCGCCCAGGTCACTTAGGTGGGGCCTCCAAGTGGTGTACCAACTGGCATCAGTTGCGCTCAACTCATTGAACGGTTTGGAGCGACGTCCGCCCGCCTGGGTGCTCAGGAAGGAGACTGGCCATCCCTGGACTGAAAGTGTGCTTGCTCGTGCGGAGCAAGAACGGCGCTTGGCGCTGCTCGCCAGGGAAGCGATTGCGCAATATGTCCGGGTCTCCTGACGGAAATGTGTGCTTATGTGACTGGAGAGTTTAAAGCTTTCAGTGTCACAAGCCACGACAAGCCTCGTTTGGTAACAAGAAACTCGTTTGGATTGAACTTTTTGGCAAACGTAGTCAGCAACGCTTGTGTCTTCTCAGTCTTGTAGTAGCAAGAAGCTACTAGTAGCTCCTGGCATTACTATAAACTATAGGAACAAGGCTTCGCTACGAACGCAACAAAGGGCCATTCGCTACCGAACGGAGCAACGAAGCCTGTTCCATCCAAGGTCTCCGAAGCCGGCACCGCTGTGCCTTCCTCTGGATTACCCTCCCTCCGAGTGCTCTTGCTGGACGTGCGACCGCGCAGCGCCTTCGACGCGGAGCACCTGCCGCACGCCGTGCACTTCCATCCGCCGTGCCTGGCACGCTTGGCGCAAGCCACGAATGGAAGCCGCCGGTCCGCGGAACGCTTGGCGCAAGCACTGAAGCAGGCGGTTCTGGTTTGGTGTGTTTTTTGCTGATCAGAGGATGTTGACTTTTCATATCTTTTCATCTATTTTCCCATTTGGGTAATCTTGTTGCTAGAAGAGTAATTGTGATAAAGGGATACTTTCAGGTGCCTTTGAGTGTGTTCTTTTGTGCAAACCCAAGCAGGCCATGGTGGAAGTAGGCGATTTGGTGTTGAGGAAGGATTCCACTCCAACCATGGCTGCCGAAGATGATGGCTTGGGAGCTGAAGTCTTTCAGTCCCTGCAACTGGCAGCTTCTGAAGCTTGGGGTGAAGGTTGGTTATCTGAATCTGAAAGAGCTCATCTGGCCATTCTGGGTGGTGAGGAAGATTGGGATTCCGCTCAACTGTGCCGGCCGGGTGCCGTTGCTGCTTTGTTTGAGCTCTTAGCCGAGCAGCTTTCGATGCCACGCGTCTCCGTCGTCCTGGGTGGCGCGGCGGTGCTGCACCGCGAAGCCGAGAAGCGCGGCGTCCCGACGACGGCGACGCCGCCCACGCCGGCGGCGGCCGCCGCGGAGAGCGCCGCGGCGGGCGCGGAGCGGCTGCGGGGCTTCCTGTCGAAGACGGCGACGGGCGCGCGGAGCGCTTTCCAAAGCTTTCCAAGTTTCAAGAGAGATGGCAAAGCCAAAGATGCTAAAGATGCCAAAGGTTCAGAGAGTTGAAAAACGAGAGATCGAGACACACATCCGGAGATCGGAGATCGGATCATTCGAAGTCTGACCCGGGCGATCAAACGGCCACAAGCGTCGTTACTACCCCCTATTCAAAGAACCATTTCTGCGCAGACTTTCAGGGGAAATCCCAGACAGCTTGCTTTAAGATGATGATTTGTGGCAAACGGCTTCCTTCCATGTCTTGGCAGCGTGTTGCTGCTTTCTCAATTGACCTTCACATGTCTGGGCAAATTCATGTGATTGCAGCTTGCTTGCGTTTCAAAGGAATTCTTTGACATGTAATTCGTTTCAGACGGCACATCCCATAACATGTCTACCTCGCTACCTCGTTTCCACCGCGCTTCGACTCATCTCCCTCGCCACCAAGCCGGCGCTCCACTGCGAGGCAAGGAGGAGGCGATTCATCTGACCGATTCAAGTGTCTGGGATTCGGGTGAGCGATTTGATTGATTTTGGTGCAGCGGATGGATGAAAAGACCTCGAACTAGTTAGAGAGCGTAGCGCTTTCGCCGGTGGTCGTTTGGTTGGCTTTCGTCCCACTGTGTGCTGCGCATGCGCCGGTGCTACGCAGGACCCATTCACGGGACGTGGTATTTTTCCGTTGCAGAATGACTACGCCGTCACGTGGTGTTACCTGACATCGCTGGGTATTCTGGTGCAAAGTACCGCGAAATCACTGTAATAGCAGCTAGCAGTTACAGGATTGTCAAGGTTGGGGCTCAAGTTGCTCTAGTCCTTGACTGACCTTCGTGATCCACTGTTTCAATGAGTAGGACACACACCCAACGAAGATTCACCCATGTCGAGCCAAGTTGAAGCACTAAGTGTATAGTGGGATTTTGTACATCTCAGTTGGGATATGTTTGCGACTGACCATGGTTTGTTCGTGTATCCTTTGCCAGCGAACTCCTGCAAGCCTCCTTCGGCCCTTGTGTCATTTAGCTTCTCCGCTCGTAACAGGGGAGCCGACAGAGTTCACAGGCTATTAAGTTAATAGGTTCACCAGGACGATTCCGGCTTGTACAATGCAACCCCTCAGAGCCAACTCCAGCCAAGCCCCAAATTGCATTGACCTCCTGAGCAACGAAAGACTTGCTTTGTTGCTCTGCTCAACCAACCCTGCGAAACTGCCAGGGATTCTGCCCTCAGAAAAGCAAGCGATTGACCAGAGAAGGCACGGTGAAGGTGATGCGATACGAAACGATTTGGTGCGGTTTTGTTCTGGAGGGATGTTTGAAAAATGCCTCCTTGACTCCAACGAAGTCTCAGTTTTGTCTCATTCAAGACCTGTCATCGTAGCCCCACCGGACAAAGTCGCGGACAAACTTATTGGACAAGCCTGAAAACACACTGCGGCTGCAAAGAAGGACTCTTTTTTGTCCTTTCAACGGCAGTTCAACCTTTCACAGAAGAACCCTGATAACCTAATGTATCGTGATCCAGTTGTGTGCAAGCCGCGGACTCGAAGAAAGAACTTTTGTTTTTTTGAGTTTGAGTTCATTTGATGTTCGTTGCAGTCTTAGGCACCTTTCTTACTTGAACAGACCCCAAAAGCCTCTGAGCAGTGTTTTTCCAGACAAGTCTGCCAGAGAATGCAGACCCCGCAAGCTTGTCAACTGCGCATGGCGTAAGTCATTCCAGAACTGCCCGGAAACCGCCGCGGAAGCGAACCTCTCCAGTCGCGCTGGCTATGACGCCACTGCGGGCTGTGATGTTCAACGGAGATGATTGAATTTGCTTTGCTGCAAAGAAAACCATCACACTTTGCTTTCATGTTGACATCTCAACCTGCACATGTTTGGCTTCTACTGTAGTGCCTACACCACCTGGCGCACCCCGCTGTTGACATCTCGGACCTTTATTGGCCAACCGGACCTGTGCCAACCTAACGCGCACCCGCGAAAAGTGTACCGAAGAATTCGGCCAGGGACGGCTTTGACTCACTCAGCTTTCCCAGGGCACCTGCTCTACCAGCTTGGCCGTCGACGACCTGGATCTGTCCGAAGTGAAATGGTTTATGCTATCGACCCTATATGTTGGACGAAGCATGAAAACAGATAATTACTGGATCAACAGTTTGAAGGTTCCACCCTTCTCTGTATAAACATATTTTCTGCAAGCCTAGCTTCTCCACTAAGCTCTATGTTCGACCAGAACTTTGATGTTCCGATGTTCTGCAGGCCATGCGTCTCAAGGCGTTAAGGGCTTCCCAGATTTTAACAGTTCGAGAATATGTTCTATGTATATATATATATATATACTGAGGAAGCTCGTGCAATAGAAGATTCCCCACACACAAAAATAGGACCAGATAGGTTGCTGACTGGTCTCAGCATCAGATTCAGATACCAGTCGTTTAGACCTAAAGGGCCAGTCCTTCCAATCCTTTGAACCTCTTTTTGACCTAATATGCAAGAAGGTAGAACGCCATGGGCCAGGCTTGTGTAGCGGCCTCAGTTGGGACGAAAAAAGCTGCCAGTGCTTGGTCAGTTGTCAACCGTTTCCACGTGCAGCAGAGCACAGCAGAAAAGAACAATTACTATCAGCTGTGGCCGAGGCATTTTCCCAAAGGGATGATGCCCTCGAAGCTGCTGGGACTGATTTCAGAGGATGGGATAGGGAGATGAGGGATGGGAGTTGAGGGATCAGAGGATCCATGAACCAACCATGGTTATGTTTTGTGTGAGGGTATGTCCGACCCAGTCCCTGTTGAACAGAGATGTTGAAGCATGGCTTGCCACATTTCTTGGTGCACCAAAACCCAACATCCAGCAGAGAATCTTTATCCAGCCAGATGTTGACATTCCCATCGCATTCTCTTGCCTAGCTGGTTGAGGTACCTGTCTTGCAGGAAAAACATTGGGCTTGCTGCAATGATGAGGCTCGAATGTTCAAGTTTTGCCGTCGAGCCTTTTTTGACACTTCTTGGAAGCGTCGAGTCCCAAAAACGTCTCTCAACAAAGTGTCAAAGCGTCCCATGTGTGTCCGAGGTGTTCAGGAAGTCTTCCAAAATTATAGAGTTGAGCAGGGCCTAGATTTTGGCCACGTATTTTTTGTGATCCCCAATGGTCCCGAAATAGATAGTGGCATGGTGTCCAATACATGTTTAGTGGGGGATCTACTGTTCGATCGAACCATATCGAACCTATTTGGGGGTCTACATATATTGTGTACGTGTGACATGTTTGGCCAGCAGTATGGTCAACCTACCCGTGTGGCCTGCTTCACTGGTGTTGATGTAGTGGTTTCTAAAGTGACACGTCCAAATGATCAAATGTGTGGGTGCAAAAGAAACTGCCAATGGTGGAGTTTGGGTGTAGTTTAGAAGTGCCAAAGCCGCGAGGCAAGGGCTGAGCGGAGCAGCTGGCTGAAGAAGGTTCAGCAGCGTGGTCTTCAGTTGGAAGAAGCCTCAGAGCATCTGAGGAATAACAAGAAAATTGTTCGGGCCGCAGTGGAGGAAGACGGTAGGGCCTTACAGTTTGCTTCAAAGGAACTGAGGAGCGATAAGCAAGTCGTCCAAGCGGCGGTGAAGCAAAATGGTTGGGCCTTACAGTTTGCTTCGGAGAAGCTGAGGGGTGACAAGGAAGTGGTTCAGATCGCGGTGGACAAAAATGGTAGGGCCCTACAGTTTGCTTCAAAGGAACTGAGGAGCGACAAGCAGGTCGTTCAGATCGCAGTGCAGGAAGATGGTAGGGCCTTACAGTTTGCTTCAGAGGAGCTTGGGAGAGACAAGGAAGTCGTTCAGGCCGCTGTGCAGGCTGCAGTGGAGCAAAATGTTTCGTCCTTAGAGTTTGCTCCAGAGGAGCTGAATAGTGACAGGGAAGGTGCTCCGGCCAAGGGGAAGCAACATGGTTTGTCCTTGCGGTCCTTACAGCTTACTTCACAGGAGCTATGGACGGACGAGGCCGTCGTTCAGGCTGCCGTCGATTTGTCTGCTGCGGCTTTCCTACTTGCTTCAGACGAGCGGACAAGCGACAAAGAAGTTGTTCAGGCTGCAGTGGAGGAAGACGGTAGGGCCTTACAGTTTGTCTCCGAAAAGCTGCGCAGCGACAAAGAAGTCGTTCAGACCGCGGTGAAACGAAATGGTTGGGCCTTACAGTTTGCTTCAGAGGAGCTGAGGGGCGACAAGGAAATCGTTCAGGCTGCCATCAAGTCGTTTCATCAGGTTTTGGATTTCTTTCCGCTGCATTTGGAGATCAACAAGGAAGTCGTTCTGGCCATGGTGCAACAAGTTGGTTGGGTTTTAGAATTTGCTTCAGAGGAGCTGCGCAGCGACAAGGAAGTCGTTCGGGCCGCTGTGAAACGAAATGGCTGGGCCTTTGAGTTTGCATCAGAGAAGTTAAGGAGCAACAAGGCAGTCGTTCAGGCTGCTGTCGAGGCGTTTCCTGCGGCTTTACAATTTGCTTCGGAGGAGCTGCGGAGAGATAAGGAAGTTGTTCGAGCACTGGTGGAGAAAGATGGCAGGGCCTTACAGTTTGCTGCAGAGGAGCTGAGGAGCAACAAGGAAGTTGAATCATGGCTGTAAACTGCTCAACTGTGACACCTTTGGTGCTGTTCTGAAAGGTCAAATTGGTTTATATGTTGCGGGTGTTCTGTACTGTATCGGTCGGTAAACAAGTACCACTCTTTTGGAGAAAAGCCTTTTCTAACCATCATCATCCGCTGTTACAGGGAATAGGATAGTCCCAACTTATATGGTTGATCAATGTTGATCGTTTTTGATCTATGTATGTAAACGCATCTTGTATTGCGTTTGTTTCATGTTGTTTTTTCTACAGCAAGGGAAAGCTTGAAGGCACTGGTTCCCTCGGTTTTCCTTGTTTCTTCTCCCCACTGAACAGGGTTGTTCTGTGAGCATGTGGAAAAATCATCCATCTGAAAACAAAGGTTTCAGCACGATGTGACCATGGCGTAAAGCATATTGCAATCTTGTGATGTCCATGATAACCCACCAACAACGTCAAAAAGACACCAGACAACTGGCTGATCAATGTTGCCCGCAATCCGCACGCACCCTCCGCACGCGCTTGGAGCTTCACTGGCTAGTCCATCGTGACCTAAAAACAACCCCACGCTGGCACAATCGTATGATGAACGTCCCTACTCACTGGCCTACTTACCCATACCTGACCCCCGCCTCCAAGGCCGCAAGAATCGAAAGCGGAAAACACACATCGATCCAAGGTGTTCTCCGAGTGGAGAAATCTCCGGTGTTATCCAATTGACATGACTTTGCTGTGGTGTTTTTCCTTCTCTTCGGAATTCCTCAATTTGGGGTGCAAAGTTGAGTCGGAATTCCGACCCATTCAGGATCTTGGGACGTCCAGGTCAACATTGGTTCATGTGTTTGCTTTCAGTTCCAAACCGCTTGGTGTCCAACGAGTTGAAGGGGAAACGCGGATAAATCCAAGGCCCTGGCAGCCATCAAGTCCAAGACAGCAGTTGTTGCAGCTGAGCAAGAGGAGTTGCACTTCATCGCTGAAAGACACCCGAAGTTCACAGTTTATCCCAAGCAGGTGGATATGATGTCACTGCTGGTGTCCGAATCCTTGATGCGAGACAAAAGCTTCGCCCTGTGGCTGCAATATTAAGACCAGCAAAAATTGGGAGAGTGAACACTTTCATGGATTATGGTTTTGTATAAGTACAAGAATTTCGTAAGACTGGTTCGCGTGTTCTGCATTGGCACCTGCCAATGTCTCATATTTCATCTTCAATAAGCCAGCTTCAGCAGTTGGGTTGCTACGGGTGGTGATTGATTTGCTCGTTGGTGGTGAGAATCACTCAGAATCGCTCGCCAGAGCCACGTCCCCTGCTCGCCGGAAATAGGGCGATGGAAGCGTCCGGTTTGTGCAGATGTGATGCGTTGATGGTTGATGTGCGGTGTGGAGTGCAGAACATGTGCTTTGATATGCAGTGTGCGGTGTGGAGTGCTACGCCGTTTGGATGACGTGTGGGGTCGTGTTTTGTACAATGCAGCGCTGTGTGGTGGTGGTAATCTTATTTTCTGCCAAACACTCCATGAGGTTCTGGACAAGTCCTCTGGTAAGCATCCAGCTGATGACCAACTGATCCACAACAAGTTAGTGGATGTTAGTAATTAGTCCACGCAACACCCGTTCACGGCCTTCACACCCACCCATGAAGACTCAAGAAAATGCTTTCCACACCCACCAGACCCGCTGTCGCGGCCACAACCGCCACAGCTGCACCGCCCTGAGGCGAAAGCCGTGGTGGAGTTCCGCGGTTGGCACCTGCGCGCCTTTGCGCCGCACCGAAGCGACCCGGAGATCGTGCTGGCTGCGGTGAGGGAGAACGGCCGAGTGATGGAGTTCGCCTCTGAAGCCTTGAAGAAGGACCGGAAGTTCGTGCTGCGAGCGGTCAAGGCGACGAAAGCCACATGGCTCCTGAACTATTGCAGCAAGGAGCTGCAGAAGGATGATGAGTTCAAGAAGTTGGTCAAGCAAACTGCAGGGACTGGGCTCGTGTTTACCTATTATCACAGCTTCAGCTGCTTTGAGTCGATGAGGGATCGCTTCGTAGCCACAGGTGCATCAATTCCAGGAGGTCCGGCATATGAACACGTGATGACCAAGTTGAAGGAGACCAAAGGAGGTGCCTTGGCAAAAGTTTGGCCCAAGGAGTGGCAAGTAAAGTCTTTCACCAACCGTGGCAGGATTCGCCTTGGTCACTGGATCGTTTCCATTGGTTGGTCTCCCTGTTTGAAAAAAGCCTGCGAGCTTCGGAGAATACTGGAAGAGTGCAGCTAAGTCCAACTAAGTTTGTAATTTTGTGTTTCTCCAGGATCCATCAGTCATCGATAAGAAGCTGTCCCCTGTTTGCACCGAATGGTTGTGTGTTCATTGCTCGTCAGGAACTGCAACAGTCTGGTTCGACGAGATGCCCGTCTTCAGCTCTTCTGCCAACGACGGCCAGTGGGTTCACCCCAGCGAGGAGTGTGGACGGGATGACGTACCGGTTCCCCCTCCGGAGAATCGGCATGAAATGTGGGAGTCCATGGTGGAGTCCCGCACGGAGAGGCTGGTGCCGGAAGTGGGATCCAAGCACCCTTGCCGCTTGGTTTTTACATGGTCTTTGACCCGATGTTCAGATCCCATTTGCCATAAATCCACTTTAAGGTTTGTCCTTTAAGGTTGATTCAAAACTGGCTTTGTTTCTGTCATGTTCCGCAAGGCTGGTGCTGCCACTGGCTGAGAAAAGTCAAGCAGAAACATGCAGAGGGCGCAGTCATTTGTATCGCCGCGTCCAACATCTATGATAAGGACGCTTGGGTTTTCTCTTGGGCCGTTGATGTGTTTTATTGATCACTGCCCAGCGAGGCACAGCTTGTCATGAAGCACGGCATGCTTGTGACAGCTGGAGCACGTTCGGCTCAGCAAGGCTTGTTTGTCTCAGCGAGACACATTGAACGGAGGCAACGCAACATCTCATCCCCAAAGAGAATGGTTGCAATCACATCCCCCATGGCAATATCCTCTATATGAAATGACCCCCCTACCCAAATTGCCAAGGGGATGTAATCGCCGAGGACTGGGTGGACGAGTACGGTGCAGGAAGCTCAGAGCTGAGCGATGAGGCAGCAGAAAAGTTTGGACTCAAGAAGAGCCTTAGCTGCATCAAACTCAGAAATCGCAGCCACAAAGATGTACAGTAACTGTTTTCTGTTTCTTTGTATGTATAATTGTATACATGTTGTATTCTGTCTTATCTACAGATCAGAAGACAGATTTGATCAACACATTGATTTCATCAACCAAAAGCATCACAAATCTACACATCACTGCTCTTTCTGTTGGATTCCACCTCTGTCACCCAGCATTGCGAATGTCCTCCGGCTCGCCCCGGCACCGGGTCCTCCGGCTCGACCCCACGCGATGGACCGACCTGAAGCGGAACAAGCTGTGGATGAATGCAGAGGGACAGGAAGTCGAGCCGAGATTCAAACACCCTAAACCTGTCGCAGGACCCCCTGCCTGTGCAAAAACCTCCGCAAGCAAGAACTTCAGGTGGTCGCAGGATCGTCGCAGGTGCGCCGCAGGATCGTCGCCTTCCCGGGCTGAGGCGCCCAACATCGCCTTGCCATCCAAACGAAGTGTTGGACGTGCTACCCAGCGCGCAATTTTGCTCAACTAACCTCACTCCAAGGAGTTCTCCGTTCTCCTTGTAGCCGGCTCTCAGAGAGGCATATCATGCTATTCACGGTGCTACGGAAAAACCATGACTGTCCAATGAGCTGAAACCAATTGAGCCCACCAGCATATTCGAAGAGCACCCCAATTTCGATCAAGGTGCAAAACAGCATCCAGTCTTTGTAGCTGCTCGGTGGAACTAAATGCAAACCCTCAGCAAACAAAGTGAACTTCCAAGGACAAAGTGTGATGTGTTCCAATGGTCAAAGGATGCATCCTCCGCTGAACCTGTTGGCAAAAGGTCCAATGAACTTGGCCTTCCTGTTCCGTGGCAAGAAGGAAGGAGACTCATGGTTTCCGTACCAATGGGACCTACAGCCGTCCCATCATCGATCCAGACACGAGTCTTGCGGAGCAGGTCCCCTCACATGACTCTCACAACCAGCCAGCTGGCAAGGGGGACAGCAGCGCGGCAGCTTTTTCGGATCTGAAAGTAGAATCGGCTCGCGACAGTGCCAATCATTGGATCTGGCACAGCTTGTAGAACCAACTCGTGTCGAACCTCTCCAAGTCAATCCGAACCTCTCGTGCCCCAGACGGTCGACAGCTCTCTTCCTCGACTTGGCGAGTGCCGCGACACTCGGCCGCGTGCGCCAGGTGGGCGTCACCCGATCGGACACGCAGGGCGTGCCAATGCCACGCAGGTCTCGGCCGATTGGGATGTGGATGCTTGAACCAGCTCAAGGAGTGAGCAAGATGAGAACTCAAACATTCAGAATTGTTGCTGTTGCCGCTGTTTCAGCTGTTGCCGCTAGCCGCTAGCATAGTTACATATGATGCTTTGGAAATCTTTGCAATACGTGCTCTCTTTTCTGGTCACGCACGTTTCGCTGAGGGAACAATTCCGCAATGGCCGCCCTGCTGGTTGGGGCACAGGCAAGATCCAGATTTCCAATGGCATGACCTTTTCCCGCGTGGCGCCAGTCCACCCTCACACTGGAAGACCGCTAGGTGAGGGGTGTCGCTGGGAGCGCCAAGCACTCGACCGTCAGAACTTCGCAGTCTATGCGTATTTTGTTCCCTGATGTCCCTGAAGTTTCAGCCCTTCAGATGTTCACGTGGAAGAAGTGTATCAACTTGAGATAATATGATGGTTTCTTCTGGGACAGTTGAACATCCTGGCATAGCCATTCAAGAAGTCTGTCCTTTGTCCTTTGTTGCGCCAATGGCCCAAAGGGGATTCTGAAGAGGAATACATAACTCTTCACATCGGAGGAGAATTCTTTTAATGCTTTGCATGGGCCGAGGTTTCAACCACCAGCCTATTCTTTTAATACGGAGGACCAGCTGTAAGAGTTTGCTCTGGCTCCGAGTCTGTAGACTCAGAAACCTTGGTCCATAATGCGGAAAAAAGCAGACATGATGACAGGAAGGCAGTGGACGGATGTCGCTCCATCCAAGCGCAATACTTCTGTTGGCCTCTCAAACTTTGTTCCCTGATGTCCCGGTATTTTGAGGCAACAAACCTTGGGATGTTCATGTGAGGAATTTGATCTACTTGACATATGATGTATATGATGTGATGTGTAATCATTGTTTGACCATTGAAAACGTTGGGATTGTCACTGGGGACGTTTCACCTCAATTACAAAGGCTTTTGGTCCAAAAGCATCCTAAAAGGCATTCCAATTATATTCATGTTCGATAGAGAAGCGTCGAAGACTCGCCAAGACATCTTAAGCGAACAATGAATAAAGTTGCAGCCTGATCCGAGGATGTGGTGTTTTATCTTCGAACCTCAAGAATATTCCAAAAAGCATCAGAATACAACAAACACAATGATCCTCAAGAAAGCGCTTTATTTACCCAACACAGTTTCCAGTGTCGGTATTAGTAACTAAAAAGTCAATGAAACAAGGTAACAAGAGCATGCAGTTCACTGTTTGTGGCTGGAGGTATTGTGACTGCAAGGTCCTCCATCCACCTGAAAATGGTCACTTGGCAGTCAAAACCGGTCACTTGGCAGTCAAAACGTAGTTTCCGCTATGATTTCCATCTTTTCTGCAGTTCACCTTCCGATCGGTGCTTCGCAAGGAGGAAGTGAGCCTGTCTTCGGTCGGCAGAGCAATCGGCGCTGGCTTTTGATCGCCAACCACGCCGAGTTGAAAATGGCCCCACGTAGCTCCAACGGAGTTGTCAATGAACGATCCAAACTCCGAAGTGTAGTGGCTGATTCGGCCCAGTTTTGAAGCACTTGGATGGTTGGTGTTAAGGATTGTTAAGGTGTAGTGCGTTTTTTGGTCTAACCTGCTCCGGATTCGGCAGTTTTCCTGATCTGTGCTTCACTCAAGAGAGCGAGACGTGTTCAACGGGTCCGAACGTGTTGAATGTCTGGCCATGTGGTTCGTCGAAGGCGGTGAGGGAACAAAGATTTCCCAAACGTCAACAGTTCAGAAACGCAGTTCTGTTTGAGAAACCCGCTCTTGCTAATAGATTCCCTGCAGTTTCTATGGTTGTTAGTACAGACTCCTGATGATATCAAACATCAGACACTTGAGACCCTTTTGCCATCAGTTTATCTCTGACCGGCTACGAGTTCGCGGCATACCTACACAGCATGGGCCTCCACGTGGCTGACACTGGAAGTGCCTGCAAGTCCAAGAGTCATCAGCAAGTCGCTCACGCGCCTCAACCAAAGCAAAACCGTTAGGACAGAGCCCATCTATAGTTAAAGGTCCAACACGTCACTTTCATGCGCACACTTTGGGCCTTCCACTAGAAGCAATTTGATCTCAGGGCTTTTTCATGTCCCTTCCGCCATGGAGACGGCGGCAGATGGGCCAGCTAGCTTAGTTGTTCTCCATGTCAGAAAGGCTTTGTAACTATTGCTCGTAAGAGTTTCTTTCATGCACTGAGTAGGCATGGAGAACGGATAGTCCCCGTGTGTGCTCGAATGTCCATGCTATTTGTGAGAACCCCCACTTACTTACTTCGTTTGCACCCACAATCTGTCACACCCCTCTCAGCTGAGGTGTCTTCATATGATGCGAGGCCAAAGGTGGATACTGGGACCAAGCGGGGCGGTTGCCTCAAGGGAGATCATCGGGTCCAAGCCAGAAGATTCATGAGATGCCTATGGCCCCTCAAAGCTCTACAAGAAGAAGCGCACCCGAGCACCCTTTTGGCTTCACTTGGTGAAAATATGATGAGTCACCCGAGCATCCTTGTTGAGTCTTTGTTTATTACCACGTTTCAATATGATGGCGCCTTCTAACTTCCAAGGTGGATGAAAAATATCTCCCAAAAAAGGAAAGTCAATGCTCCAATGTGCTTGGAGAAAATCACGACAGCCTGTGAGGTTACAGAGGTATGGTGGAGCAACAGGGTACACCACAAACCCACTGGTGAAAGGATGAATCATCGAAAACATGTGGGTTTGTGGGTCAAATTTTGCTGACACCTTGCCACTCAGGATTCATTTCTGATTGCAAGTGGTTTTAATAATGAACTGCAAACGTTGTTGTTTTCCATGTTCACTTTGTTCCACTTTGTAGGCTCTCCCGCTCCTTCAACATGATATGAAACATATCTTTTTCAAGGTTTTTGGCACAAAATCTCCATATTCGCTCGAGTGTTGCCACAAAGTGCTGAGGACTCTAACCTCCGGACTCCAGACGACCCTCGACTTGGGTCAGCAGAGTCATCCAAGAGCAATTTTCACACATCGCATGCATAACCGCAGATACCCAGCCCTAGTATCAATGATACCCAGATACCAGTATCTAACTATCAACGGTACCCACAACCTAGTAGTATCAATGATACCCAGATACCGATATCCAAGTATCAACGATACCCAGAGCCTAGTATCAACTATACCAACCCGGATGTGTGAAGTGCTACGCAAACATGATTGCTATTTGTCAATCCGCAATCCTAAGCAGAGAAACTGGCCAAAAAAAACATTTATTGCTACGTTTTCATTGGCGTGCTTTCCAACATTCATTGCAATCACTTAGGGTCGTGATTTGATCGGACGTTGAAACCAGAGCATGTTCAGGGCACGGAGCGAATTCAAGGAAGTTTGCGAAGAGGCCTGGAAGGAAGTTTATTCCAGCCTTTGACCGGGTGAAACTCAGGATGATGAAAGGACCTTGTTCAGAAACAAACGTAGTGACAACATTTTTCAGTTCGGCTTTGTTTGCGGCAAAAAATATACGCGAGAGACGGTTTAACTGGTCACTGAGCTTGGGAGCGTAAGAAATGATTCTGTTTGACTTAAAGGAGAGTCAACTCCCTTTGGCTTAGTCTGTTGGCATGTTGAGCCATCCCCTTCCTGATTGTTCCTCTCGTTCTTCCTCTTCCTCATCTTCATCCTCACCCTCATCCTCAGGTTTCATCAGACTGCAGGCAAGCAATCTACAGGTTTGCTCGCCACCCAATTTTTCATCCACCCCATGCAAGTTGTGGACACCTCTCTTCCG